GGTCCACACTCTGACCCGGTCCACACTCTGACCCGGTCCACACTCTGACCCGGTCCACACTCTGACCCGGTCCACACTCTGACCCGGTCCACACTCTGACCCGGTTCACACTCTGACCCGGTCCACACTCTGACCCGGTTCACACTCTGACCTGGTCCACACTCTGACCCGGTTCACACTCTGACCTGGTCCACACTCTGACCTGGTCCACACTCTGACCCGGTCCACACTCTGACCCGGTCCACACTCTGACACGGTCCACACTCTGACCTGGTCCACACTCTGACCCGGTCCACACTCTGACCCGGTCCACACTCTGACCTGAGGATTATAAACATGAATAATTATTATAAATAACTTAAATTATTTCACTGCATTAATGGTTTTCAAAATAAAGTGCAGGACGTGCTGTAATAATGTAAACTATTCAAAACAGAACCTTTCAGAATAAAACAGTTCCTCCTGCAGTGGACCGGCTGGGTTCTGCTGCTCTTTGGTCCGGGTCAGGGGTGGTTCTGTTTGCTGAACCCAGGCTCAGAACTTGAAACCCGGTTTGAACGGCTGCTGACCTCCTGAAGCAAACATTTCAGACAACATGTCAGTGATTGACAGGAGAGGTCAAAGGTCAGCCTGTTCTGGTTCTGGTTCTGGTTCTGGTTCTGGTTCCTGCAGTGGGTCAGAAGCAAAGAACTGAACCCTCAGACTGGTTCTGTCCACATTACAGCAGCAGGTAGCTGTAGCACTTTCTGCAGGAATGTCTCCATGAGTCTCAGGAGGTTCCTGAAGATTTAATGAGTTCTGCTGCAGGTCGGGTCAGACTCAGAACCAGAACCATCTGAAGGACTWTACAGTCCGGTCCTTGTCCTGAAGTACTAACTGCAGCACTCTGTATTTGTTCCTTCTGGTTCTGGTTCTGGTAGGTTTGAACCTTCAGTGAAAGCCTCCTCTGTTCAGGAACAGTTTCTGTCTGGGCTCTGTTGTGTAACCTCAGAGTGGGTTTTATCAGAACATGTGACCCAGTGTGTGTGTGTGTGTGTGTGTGTGTGTGTGTGTGTGTGTGTGTGTGATTTTATGTTTTTAGATGTCAACTTTGACCTCATGTTCTGCCTTGCGGGGGTTTTGGACTGTGTGTTGAAGCTCAGAACCTCAGAGCTGCTGAAACAGAAACTGTCTGATGTTCTGACCCGATCGGACCGTTTAAATGTTCTGCAGAACTTAATGTTTGTCAGATAGAACTGTTCCTGAACAACAGAGAACTGAACGTCTCCTGGGAAGTGGTAATTTCCCTGTTCCCACTGGTAGATTTAAACTGGAACGCCCCCGTCTGTCCYTCAGACAACCTTGGTGGAGTCCAACTCTCACCTGAAACYAGTCCGACTTACTAKCATCAATGTGGACCAAGCTCTGGTACCYGTCCTACAGGGACCTAACAGCCCGTATCAATGGACCTGGTACCCCATACTCCCAGAGTACCCCCCACAGGAGTCCCTGAGGGACACGGTTGAAAGCCTTCTCCAAGTCCACAAAACACATGTAGACTGGTTGAACTCCCATGAACCCTCCAGGACCCTGCTGAGGGTGTAGAGCTGGTCCACTGTTCCAGGACCTGGACCCTGCTGAGGGCGTAGAGCTGGTCCACTGTTCNGTCCTCGGCTCCAGTCCGCCCCTGTTCAGTCTCGGTGCTGGCGCTCTCACGGTCTGAGCTGCTCCTGGATCTCTGGTTCTGGTCTACCTGTCCGTCCAACCACCGTTCCTCCCCCCGAACCTCCCCCCCTCTCGGTGCGGACATGCTCCCGGGGTTCCGGACATGAGGTTCCGAAATGTCTCCTTCCTGACGGTCTTGTTGTTCGGGCTGAGCGGGCTGGTCTCCCTGTCCTGGTACACCGCCTTCAGCAGCTCCAGAGGTAAGACCCGCTCCTCTCCGGTCCGGTCCGGTCC